AAAATGGAACATTCATACTATTAAATAATAAAGTCATAGTGAGGCATTTAGATAAATTTGAGAATATAATAAGAAACAATAGTGGATGAAGAAGGCCTGAAAACTGATGCAAATGATTAGGGAAGCTGTGCTATTAAAATCTTTTCAAAATTACACTGATTTGGAGAGTGATAATTTGTTTTATTTAGTCTTGATTTGAGCAAATGATAAACAAGTTGCGTAATCACTCTACTTAGGTAGTAAGGTACATGTATATGTGTATGTGGCTGTGAGGGCTGAGGATGTTGCAATAGAAGCAAAACAATCGTTGCATCATGTTGTGTATAATATGGTCCCATGTGACTTGCATGATTCGTATTTGAATGTATACTTATAATATAATGCTTTTCAAAATATTTGTATCAAAATTCTGGACGCATGATTTACCTGATGAAAATTTGTAATAATGTTATAGTATCTATAGAACGTGAGAACTGAATTCAGTATTCAGCTGAGGTTTATGTGGGATTAAAGATGTATTCGATTTAGGACTATATTTAGAACTGGATTCATGCAAATATATATATGCTTACTGGTATTAGTCGTGTATTTGAAAACTGAGAGTAGTGAGATAGTTTTGGGATGACTTTTCAGTGTTTTTTTCAAAAATTGGAGAAATGACACTTTGGCATTAACTTTATGTAGTGTCATATTTAGTTGCTGAAAAGAATGTTTTTTCTGGTGAAAAAAATGCATGTTTTTCTCTTCCTTAAACAAAAGCATCAGATTTGATTTGATCTTGGCGACATTGTCAAAACAATTTCATTCCAAGATTAACGAAAAGCGAGAAAAATCGATTTACAAAATCATGCCCCAAAATATTCTTTGTAAAAAAAAAGATTACACATATCCCGGTAGTGTTCAAAGATATGCATGTACAGTGAGCCTTGCATTATACGGTCATACAAGTTCATGTAAAATGAATTTGTTTTTAAACATGTTATTGTCAAAAAAATATTGACTATTTTTTTTCGGCAGTGGCAGCATGACAACCTTCGTTCGTTACTTAAAGCAGTGCTATGTAAACGTGGACATCTATATTCTGGTTTTATTCACAAGCAAACTACTTGTACATTTTTGAAGAGAAGTTTTATAATGGTCAGGAAATTAGAGAAATCAATTACCAGAAACATTGTGATAAACTTGTACGACTTGGTACATTACAAGGAAATGAGAATTGATGATTTAATGACGTGGTAAACTCGGTTATAGAGTCTCGATAAATCTTAGTCAGTGCAGTTCTACCGTGTTTCCTCTAGAAAGCAATGTGCTTTTACAAGTATGTAAACGATGATTGCAAGTTCTTTTAAGCTTTTGCACTTCTGTTTTGTGCTCATGTTAATGGTTTGACATTAAGGGAAGTCCTATATGCTGGGGACAAGTAAAATTGTCGTTCCAATCACTGAATATCAACTCCCTTGTCTTAACATACTATAGTAAATAAATAGACAACATGCATTTCGGCAAGTGAATTTAAAATGTCGAGCTGTGATGTATTTGACTATACCAACTTGAGTTTTCTAACAGACATATTGTTTTTGAATTACATTGGCATATTAGTTGGCCGAGAAAGTTTATGTTTGTAACGATACACACACACGGACAAGACAAAATGTGATTTTGTGACATCTCGGTTTATCTGCACAGGTTTCCACACATGTATATGAGGGACAACAACTTTTTCTGTTCCGGAGGAGGGGGTCACCGTAAATGAATTCCACAGGGTAATGATTTTACTATTGGTTTCCGAAGGGTTGGGTTATATATAAGTATAAATATATCTATATATATATATATAAATTAAAAATTTGGATAATGTCTTTAGCTTATTGGGGCTTCAATCTGGGATGTACAAATGTATGTTGTAATGTATCATAAACACAGATATCATTATTTATACAAAATTAATCAGAAACCTTGTATTCAGTTGTAAAAATATAAGATGAAAGATATGGATTATTAATAGTTTTGATATTTATTTTTAATCATATTCTAATTATGA